CATCTACCATGAAGTGAAATTTAGTATGAACTTTACAAAGCTCTTCTTTGGAAGAGATAAATTCCATTTTCACAAATTGAGGACATTAATTATTATTTGTTGTTTAAATGCTTTCTTGCAACATTGATGCATGGTTTTTCTAAGGTTTAATTAAAGAATAATCTTTAATTAATTAAAGAATAATTAAGAGATAGTATATTCTTATTTTAATAAAGCTTCTGACAATTTTGCACTTTTGCCATTTGTGTTTCCATAAAACACTTAAATTCTATAAAGCAATGATTAATTTTTAATTTCTCTACCATTTATCATATTGGCAATTAATATATTGTCTTTAACTATATATATATATATATATATTGCTATTATATTTTATTAGTGCATCATTATTTCTAATTATTCTAATACTATTTTATTTTCAAATTGTTAATCTAAATTAAGTTGTATTGCCCATTTACTATGTGTTTTTAAAATACTTTAAGTGAATGCTTCAAATTTAGTTTCTTTTTTATTTATACTATTACTATGATTACTATTTTAAAGAACACATAAACTATTTTTAGAGACAATGGTCATATAATTGTACTTAAATTAAAAAAAAGAGTGAAATATTTATGAAACACAAAATAGGAAATTTTTTTATACTCAGCCCCTATGATAACTTTTCAACATAACTATCATTTTTAAAAAAAGCTATTGTAGAGCTAATATCTACTCTTGTCTAATTCTCACACTATATATATATATATATATATATATATATATATATAGAGAGAGAGAGAGAGAGAGAGAGAAATTATATATATAATTTATTAATTTATTATATATAATTTATTGTTTATATATTATATATATATATAATTTAAGTAATTTTGTAGATAAGAAGATTTTATTTTTTCTACATCAAGGTCTTTTGGGGTGAGGAAGGTCAGATCTGGAAATTAGTGGCAATAGAGTGAAAACTTTAATTTCAAATGCTTTTTACATTCTTCATTGATGTCTTTTAATCACTATTTTATATAAATACCAATTTTTACTTATCATTGCCCAGCCCATAGCAAATGAGATTATGCTTTTGGTCACAAAATATTAATACAGAGTTCTAAAAGTGACAGTATTGTGTGTTCATAATTTGTCTATAAGCAAGTTTGTTTTACATAAATAGCTTTTTAACAAATTTGAAATGTGAATATATTTTATTTTTCCCAGTGAGTACACAATACACAATTCTTTGACAATACTATTAATCAATGTTACGCCAATTTCTTTTCTGATCTAACAACATCAAATGAAACATTCATATCTTGAATGCTGTTTGGTGACGTAAACAAAGTACATTTAAAAAAAGACTCCATCTATAAAACAAAATATAAAAAGTCTACCCACGGCCACAAAATCCCTTATCTTGCAACACTTTAAAGTCACAATAAATGCTTTAGAAAGTTATGAGATAAGAAAACTTAGTAAAATGAAATTTCATTTAAAATGTATGGTGTTTCATTTGAAGTACAATTATAGAGAAGTAAAATAAAAGTAATTTCACCTCTAAGGTAATGTGAAAAGACATGTTGCATTACACCAATTCTTGTCATGTAATTCTATAAATACAATATACAGAAGCAGATGAACAAATTAGTGAACGTCATGGTTTGCATTTTTAAATACTGACACAATCACTTTCCAGTGGAGAAAATAAATCAGTTTAGAGTTTATTGGTACTGTTATCCTTATGTTGTCAGTGGACAATTACACAAATTAGTTCAATAAAAATTTGGAGGTTTTCTATCAAGCTTTTATAAATTTTCAACTCAAACCCCATTGAAAATATATCTACATACCAAGAGCATTAAACCATGACATAGAAAACTAGTTAGTTCATTTTGTTGCCTAAAGCAAGTAAACTTGCGATGTTTTTTCTTCCTTTGGTTGTATACATGTTGATCTTGATTTTCCCATATTCTCTCTAGAGCTGGATTCTAATCCTGTGAAGGAATCAATTGTTTTCATGTCCCTGTACTTTCCTACCTTACATTAAATATGAGATGGAACATTTTTGGAGGAGGGGTTGTTTGACTTTGCCTGCATACACTGAGGATACCTGAGCTGGGCACTGATTCCACTACTTCCCCCATGGAGACTTTGCCTGCTATGAATGGAGCTGTGCTGTGGGGTGTGACTGCACACCAGTGTTGTCTTTGTGCAAAACATATTACATCCTCTCCCACCCAGAGTTCTTTCTAACAGCTTACGTGGGCCTATCTCTGTCTAGATATGCAGAAGAGTGAGCTCAGTGAGTTTCTAACCAGTCATTCAATTGGCCACAAAATGAAAAATCATGATACTTCTCACACTTGCATTTTTAATGATATTTTGGCCTATAAAAATTAAGAGCTTTTTACCCATGGCAAGCTGACAAAGGCTTGATGTTTTGTAGTGCTCCTGAACTCATGTGAATAGCCACAACTCTTTATATGCTCTGTGTCTATTTTAGGATGGTATTTTATGTGCAATAGTTGATCAACCAATTTATTTAAAAGTAGATTTAATAGGGAAGGTGGACTGTTCTAAAAGGATATTCCAAGACACCATGAGCTCAATATTGGCAGAATATAACCATAACAGTGAGTTTTATGCACTGGAGACAATTAGAGAGGTAAGATGCATGCCCAATCTTATCCCAGAAGTCACCCGTGTGCATATACTCTGTTTTTGAAGTCATGGTTTATCAGTCACATACACCTGCCAGTTACCAGGGGCAAAAGGCTATGTGTAAAATGTGTAGAGAACTAAGGTTTTAGACTATATTGGGTTGTAGAGGAATGTAAAGAGGAAATACAAGTGAATAAAACTTTGCTTTTAAATAGAAAGAGGTGAAGTAAGGAACTGCATAACTAAAAATTAAAATTCCTCACATTCTACAGTTGTGAATAGGCATGCACTCATTCTGAGAAGAAATTTCTCATCCTCCCCAGTCTCTTTGTTCCAAAGAAGTCAAACTTTATTAAAATTCAGACACTTATGGGAGAAAGTTGATGAAGCATTTAGTATGTGTGTCTCAGAATTTTCTCCTCCGTGAAGAAATGAAGTGCATGACAGTAGTCAGGACCCATACAGAACACTGAGCACTGAGTTCCTGTATGTGTGTCTGTGTTGATACAGACACTACTGTAATAATATGACACACAATTGATGACTGAGCCCAAAATGCTCAGTCACCAATGATTTATCATTCCAATGGGTCCCGTATTTTATAACTGATCCCTACTTATCATTATATTGAATATACTTTAAAGTATCAATTACTGAGCACATCATAGAAAAAATATAATAAAGTATAACTAGAGAGAAAGTTTACAATTGTGTAGGCAGCACAGGGGAAAATGTCACAAGTGGAAAATTCTCTTCTACTTGACTGACTATACATGTACAGTAGCTAACATATATTTTAAAGTCATATTTGTTTTGACCATACATGACTGATATTCAAGAACTGCTTGTTCTCAAAGTCGTGAAAACAAATGAGGCAGGACACTGTTATTAATGTCCATTTACCAGGTTCGGTTTTATTTAAAAAGTGTATAAACATGCATTTTTCTCCTTTTCAATTTACTCATTCAAAATGGGTCAAACATATTTTAGTTGGTAGCCCATTTCTGAAAGTGTACCATAAAATATTGATTCCAATAAGTCTACTTACTGTGAACTGAACATACTCTGAGCACTGCTTTTTAAGCACTTATAATTTGGCTGTACATTTGGTGGCATAAACTTCATTTTTTTTCATCAAATAAAACACAAAGTTGCATATAGACTGCATTATTATTTTAAAAGTCATGAATTGAAGTGATGCAGCTCTATCTTCTGGTGTGTACTGTACATGTACTAATAAGATGAAACAAGATATTGTAATAGAGTTTTTGTATTTCGAAGCAGCCCGAGTATGTCCTAACAATAAATTGCCTCTTTAACTATTTGCTGGATATTCTAGAGTTCATTTGGTTTGTTTCCTTGGGGAACATCATATTATATTCTGACTTAATGAGTTGGAGAGAGTAATTATATTAATTCAGAAAATGCTTTTTTAAAAAAACCTGTAATATAAATACAGCTCTTGTGAAACACCTTGATTTCATTTTGCTTGTTGCAATTCTCAGATGGGTCAATTACAAAGAGAGATAAAGCTGATTCTAAATATAACTTTAATTTCCTTATTATGTCTTAAAGCAAGCTTAGTATATCTTTGCTACCTGTATAGTTTAATGCCTATTCAGACTTAAGTCTTAAACTTCCTTCTTTTGACCCACCCTTTTATCAACAATAAAAGCCACCAATCTTTTTTTTTTTTTTTTAATTGACTTGGTCCCTGATGTTCAAAGAAGACTTCACTAACACCACTGTCCTTCGCATCTTCCTATTTCTATATCTCAACCAAAAACCATCCAACGTGATTGGTTACAATCAGCGTTATCCATCTAGCTTACAGTACAGCAACTCCCTTCACATTCAGTCTTTTTCTTCATGTCACGAGGAGTAGAGATTTGTGCTTATCACCAAATAAAATTGCAGTGCAAAATTTAAAAACATAAAAGTTACACAATTAAAAGTTAATATATGGCACCACAGCCTATTAATTCACATATAGTACAACAGACCAGTAAGAACAGACAATAATATGAACAGAGCTAAAAAGAGTGAGCTTGCATAGCAATGCACAAAAGAAATTATATACAGAGGAAATCCTTTGCTTCCTGGAGGGCGAGCTTTGTTTTCTTTCTTTTTTGTTTACTCCTGACAAGAAAGAGTTAAGGTGGGTGGTGTACTTAACAGAAGAACAAAAGGAAAATATCTGTGGGATATGTGTGGCTGTGTGTCTTTACATTGCATTTACAGTTCTTTTAATAGTACATAAATAAAGAAATTGTTCATTGCACTGTTTAAGTGTCATCACTTCCATGAGTTCAGACCTGATGGTCCTTCAGAGCAGCTTTGCATGACTCATCTCAGTTATTCTAGAAAGAGAAAAACAAATCAGAAGTAAGTTTGCATTTAAGTGCAGTATCCTTTAATCCAGCATACCAAAAACCAAAAGGAACAGATAATAAGTGAAAGTAACATCATCAAATAGAATCTGTGAATTTGTGAATTTAAGAAATTTTACTGAAATGAGATGGGAAAAAAGGGGGGGAAAAAGAAACATTGTGGAATTTGGATATTTGAAATTAAACTAGAGCTAATTTGCACTTTTGTGAATCCATAATTATTCCAAAATAAAAGTTAAAGAAAAATCCAAGTACTCATAAGTCAAAATAAAAATTATAAACATAGTTTAGTAATAATCAGGTTAATAATATATAACAATAATTCATATCAATAAATAATTTAAAGTTTTGAAAATATTTTTTAGTTTTCATTATTTCAGCTCATCCCTGTCTGCCACATGAGCATAATAGCAATGTAATTTTTTAGATATGAAAAAGGATTAGGAAGGCAGCTAGTTTACTTTCTCTTTTCACCCAGACAGTGAGCAGTTAGGAGGTTGGAACCCAGGGCTGTTCCTTAGCAGTGTTTTTAAATTGTATTGAAAGAAGCAGTTGAACATATTCAGCAACTATTATTCTGAAATAGAATAGCAAAACTGGTAACTTTCTTGATTAAATTAGTAAGAGTTCAATGCTTTTTACTGTGACATACAGTAACATTCTAAATTTCTCTATTTCCTAGTACTTTATATTTAGAAAACAGATTAATTGTAATAAGCACCAATGTTGGTTCCCTATTCAAAAAGAGAAATTTATTTCTAAGTTATGTTGTAATTATCAAAGTATTTCAAGTTAACTAGAATTAAAGATCAACTTTCAAGGTTGAGTCACCAAATTTAAAAAAAAAAAAAAAAGAATTCCTAAGGAGGTTTTTTAAAAGTATCAAAAAGCTAATATGTTTCTCATTAGTGTACTCAGTTAAAAAGGCAAAAAAAAAAGTTACAGAATGAACCAATGGACCATAAATATTAAGATTGATTGCCTATGCTAAGATAATTTTTGTATGATAGAAATCAAATTTTAAAGAAAAGGATATGATTATTAAATTGACTCTGTAAATAGCAATGGTCTAAGTTATAAACAAACCTGATCAAATTTGTAATTGATCCCATAGTAGAGCAAGTTTTCTACTATTGTGAAATTTGATACTGTGGCAATGTCATTGATGAGTTGTAGGACATGCGATGCCAAAATATAGAGCCTTAGTCTATTCTGTATCTTACGTGAAGGAGTTTGAGGACACAGCGGAAGCAGGAAGGTAACTCTGGCCTCCCCTGTCCACCCTTCTTTCCTCACACGGGTTATAAAACTGCCCTGTGACAGTTATCCTCACCCTAGTGCCAGGAGGAAGGAGGACATTCTTATTACAAGAGTTGGGGTTGAGAAATCTGTGTAAACAAACCTTGTTGAACTAACCCTTATCATCCTATTACTTCTTCACCATTCACTCCCCTTAGCTCAAACCCTTCTATTTGTCAATTCTTCACATATGTATTGTTTATTTTTGTCTAAAAGGTAGGAAAATTTCTGCTTCTTATCAGTTTTTTAGGTCTTCATCTTCTTGAGAAGGTTCCCATGTATATGCAAAAAGTAAATAAAATATATTTTTTCCCTGTTAATCTTTGTCAGTTTAAATTTCAGAAACAGCCAGGGAACCTAAGAGGGTTGAGTAAAACTTTTTCCTCAGATTTTCTTTTCTAGATCACCATAGCCTTTTAGATCTCCTACAGCACTTACATAATTCACTCGTAAACTGTCCTTGACTATTTGAGCCCATATAGCCTATGTCAAGAAGGTCGCTGACATTGCGCTGGTGGCCCCCCTTCAGCACCTCAGCTTTCCGAGGTCCAGTGGATCCTTTAGAAGATGCTGTTCCTGATGAGCTGTGACCTCCTGGAGACGGAAAGTTGGGCTTGCTGTAGGGCACCAAGGTCTCCTCTAGAAAGAAAACAAAAAAACATAAAGTGCTAAGTCAAACAGGATCATGTTGAGAAACAAACGTAACTTTAAATATTTAGCTCAAGATGAACAATTTTACCATTTTGCTTTTTAGTAAAATGAAAAATATGAGATTTAACAAGAAAATTAAAAGAAGTTTCCATGTGCAAGCAGCATTTCCTACAATAGGATCTAAAGCAGGATTAAATTAAAAGATGTATTGGAATACGTATACAATGTTACACATCATTTGCAAAATGTAAAGGTATTATAAAAGAGACCTCATACAATGAACCATATTATTTAACAAAAACGTTTCTGAGGATAATTTCTGTAGTTTAGTGGAGGCTCCAATTTAATATTTCTATTAAGAATAAAAGATCACGGTTTTAATTTTAAATTATGGAAACATTTTTTCTCAAATTATATAAAGAACTATTTATCAGCTATTAAAAATAAACTTCTTAAATTTCTATTGTTTCTTGAGAAAGAAATACATTATTTGAAAGTCTGTATTCTTCCTTAACAGAAAAGAGAAACAAACAGTTTAATAAATAATGTGCCTATTCTCTTTATACATAATCTCTCTACAAATAACATACATAACTATTAATACTTCGAAATGCTTTTTCTTCCTTGCTTTCTTTTTTCTCTCCCTTACTTCCCTGTTCCTTCTCTTCTTCTTCTTCTTCTTCTTTTTTTTTATAATATGTTTTTGTTGTCATTTAGAGAGAGAAGAGGGAGAGGGAGGGACGATAGAAACATCAATAATGAGAGAGAATCATTGATTGGCTGCATCCTTCATGCCCTCTACTAGGGATTGAGCCCACAACTGAGGCATGTACCCTGTGGGAATCGAACCTGAAACTTCTTGGTTCCTGCGTTGGTGTTCAACCACTGAGCCACACTGGGTCGGGCTCTTGCTTCTTTCTTTCTTCCTTCCTTCTCTTTTTTTTTCTCTCTCCACTACCTTTCTTTTTTCTTTTTCTAGTATCAATTATTATTCCTATGGTTATATGACTAAAAAAATTGCTGACTAAATTTAGTATTTATTTCTTTAGATAATCTTAATGACAAGGATCACAGGATTCTTCTCTCATTCTTAATGATAAACCTTAAATGTTTCATTAAATCTAGTTGATAATATTGTCATGTTTTTAGCCATTGCATAAACTATTTCTAAAACCTTAAGCACCAAGTTGTGACAAAATATAATATTAAAAATGCATGGGTAGATGACATATCTAGAATATATTCAGTCCAAATGAATAAATGAATGTACAAGGAAACTCTTTCAAAATTGTGTGTGTGTGTGTGTGTGTGTGTGTGTGTGTGTGTGTGTGTTTAAATAACCAAGGAATCCTGACATAAGAAGAAATATTCCAGAAAATGCATTTATGGAACAGTCTCATCACCAACCTCCCTCACTCCCACTCCCCACAAAAAAAAAAAAAAAAAAAAAAAAAAAAATCCAACCATGAACCCCTAAATTTATTTTGTGATATTTCCAGAAAACTTGATTTATAAACAAGAACATTCCTCCATTAAATTGTTAACAATTAACTAAATTTATTCAGCTGGAAAAAGTATAGACCCAGTTTAACCTTTTCTAACATGAGGATTCTGTGTTGGGTATTGATTTGTAATTTCATTGATTATTTAAATTAGTTCAGCAATTTGACTGAAGTGAGTTCTTTCAAAATGACTAGTTACTTCAGTCAAAATGAGCAAATTGGTTAGAGGCAGAGTTTAAACTGACAATAAAGGTGAAATTTTGTGGTCTTAAAAGTACTCAATATAAACACTAAAAAGCAAAAAAACAAAATAACAACAACAACAAAAAAAACACCTCAAATTGTCTCATGAGCACTACAAATGGAGGTTGGAAGTCTCTACGCTCAAAGGTCCTAGCAGAGGTCAACTTGAGGAGCAATCTCTCTATTGGGATCAGCCTGCAGGGATGTTCCGGTAGCTCTGCTTCAGAATTCCAAATTCAGTTAGTGATTCAAGGCAAATGCATTTCAGAAGCCCTTAAACAACTGCTGTTTCTAAAATACCTGGTAAGAAAAAAAAATGGTAAAAGTCCACACTTTGTTGGGACTGTGCAGAACACACCTGGTCCAACACCTTGTTTGTGTAGGGCTTTCCGTATGTCTTCTTGGCGTTCTGTGGAGTTAATCCATTCCTGGGTTTGTCGCTGCCACTCTAGGGACGTTCTAGCTGGACAATCCAATGAGCTCTTTGTGTCTTCTAAGTTGGATGCTTGTTGTCTCTCCAGAGAGCTTCCTTTTCTCTCTGTTGAGTTTTCCACGTTACCAACATGCTGGCTCGGGCCTATTTGTTGCCTTATACCCTGACCTGGAGGGGGGTCTGGTGGTGGTGGAAGATCTAAAAATTTTGAATAATGTTTAGAATGGACTAAATTTAATGGAAAAAAAAAATACAGGTTTTAGTTCAAGATGAAGAAAAAAAAAAACCACAAAGAAACCTGCCCTGTTAAAAGTATCATCCATGCAAAAAAAATATTTTTTTTGGGGGGGAAAGGCAAATTGTTTATATCCAAATGCATATTATTGATCTCATTGCTATTTTTTGCTTACAGTGTCTTTGAAATAAAATCAACTAGCTTTATTCAGTTTATGTGGAAAATGTTTTCAATTGCAGATTGAGGCAAACATTTAAGGTAAAAGGGCAGTTTATGATTTCTCCATATTTAATCCATTGTTCAACTCCACTTCCCAGAGTAGAAATATCATGACACAAAATGACTAGAAATTCTAGCAGCTGTGTTAATAAAAGTCTCTATGAAGAATAAATGCTGTTCTGCCAATCTCCAAAGGAAATTTTGCCCTTGGGAAATTAAGAACTCTATGTGGTATCATATGCAACATATGACTGCCTTTACTCATATATGTGGCACATTTAGCAACAAAGATTTAAGCTAACATTTATGAAATGCAATTAACATTCTGCCTGATGACCAATGCTAGCTATTCATTTCATGAGTTAACTAATGAGTTACAACTAATATGTTACACTCTTCCAATGTATTAATTTTAATAAGTAATAACCAGTTGCACAGATAGAATATGCTTCATGGTGCTAGACTAGACACTGTATCATGAAAATCTGAGATATAGTGGCATAGTTAATTTTTCAGAAAAGTTTTTTAAATTACATAACAGATATAAAAAAATTAATAGTTCAAAGACTTGGCTAATTTTTTATTGTATTTTTATTAGCTCTTTAGATAGTCATTACCATTATATTTGTAATGTCTTCAGTTGTGACATCATAGAACCTTCTTTCATATTTCTTTAAGTACTATACTAATTTTGTTATACTAGTCATACCAGTGCTGAAATTACTTCATTGAAGTAATTGAAATCTAAACATTTTTAATATTCTTTGGATTATTTTCTTCTGGCATCCCATTGATTTTTTGTTATCCTTAGAATGTCAATAATCTTATTCTTTGTTCATAAATACCAAATATTATATTCAATATGCATATTAATTTCATTATAGAGGCTAATGTATATAATAGAGGTAATTAATTCCCATATAATTTTTATAATTGTGCTCTTGTTTCTACTAGTATTGTTTGTAAAATTAAAAGGGAAAGATATAATTATTTTTGGAACATAGTTAGCTTCCTTAAGGAAATCTAAGCTGCTCCTTTTAAATATTTTCTTAAGAAACGTTATATTTTCTTTATGAGGAAAGTGATATTGTCCTCCGTTGAACTAATAGCAGTGGTCTCCTCAGCATCTGCTCAGGAAGTTCCCATGTTGGAGCAGAGCTTTTATTTCTCATGTATGTCCTCTTGTTAGATGATGAATTACTAATTATTGAAGGGGACAGAGTTTCTGTCTGGGAGAATCAAGTAGCATTTGGAGTCTTGCTTCCAAAAAGGAAGAGCTAATCTAATATTGAGATATCTGTTTGTTAAATAATTCACCAAAGAGTTTGGTGTTTCCTTTGTATTCAAAGCTGACTTCCTTCAGTATGTATTATTATAAATTCAAATTTGTTATATAATTTGAGTTATTGGATTTAAGACTGCCAGTAGGAGAGAAATTATTGTAATTTCTTCCAAAATAACATATTTTGTCATTGATTTTTATTCTTTATCAGAGCAGTTTAATTTTTTAAATGGCTAAAATGGAATCTGCTTATGTTAGCTAAAATTCTGATCACTATTTAATTTAACCTGAATTTATACAGCTACATAATTAATACCCTTGGAGCTTACATATCCTAAAAAGAAAGAGCATTGCATATACATTGAAATAAAAAAAAATTGGAAGAAAGATAGAAGTGAGAATGGCTGTGGAAAAAAATCAAAGTATGTAATCAAACATATTTACTTAAATTAAATTCATTATTCATTTCTATTTTGATTCTTTTTAACAGAATCAATTCACAAGACTCTCTTGCTGGTTTACTAAAGATTTGCTATTGTCTGGCACATAGAATACAGCAGTCTAATGATACATTGCCAGTATTTCTCTCTCTTTCTCTCTCTCTCTCTCTCCCTCCCTCCCTCTTAGAAAAAAATAGAAACATGGAAAAATTACATATCTACAGCCTGGATCTCTCCTCCCATGAACTTCTAACTCATATAACCAAATCCACACTGAATAGTTGAACTTAAATGTTTAGAAGGCTTCTCAAATTTCACATACCCAACCTGAGCTCTAGATCTACCTCTACAATAAATGTTCCCTCTGCAGTGTTCCTCATCTCAATTAGTAGCTCTTCCATTCTCTAAGTTTACCGAAATTTTGATGTAAACTTTGACCCCCTGCGTTACAGCCTATGTTAATTTTATTCACAAATTCTGTGGACTCAATTTGCAAACCAAAATTCAATCTTTCTCATTGCTTCCACTGATTCTACCTTGGTGTGAATCAATATCATCTACTCCCTATAAAACTCCTGCAACCTCCTATGTGGTTTTGGTGTTTCCACATAGAAGCACATTCAGCCAGTTTGTTTGGTTCCCATTGTCTATCATTTGGTATAAGCTTAATAAATATTTGAATGAATAGTTTAACAAAACAGCCAGAGTGACTATTTTATAAAAACAAAAGTAAGAACATGTCACTTCACTTGCCTTAATATGCACATACATATGCACACACACTTGCATGTACCTCCAGGTTTTTCCATTCAAAGTAAGAGCCAAGATCCTTATATAAGCTTAAGGGTCTTATAAACTCTAGCCCTAGTTGACTTGTCTGACTTTGTATTCTATTTTGTTGCTCTCTGTGATTAATCACACTTTTCCTCTAGCTTTTAATCAAATAAGCTTCAGGCTTCCACTTACTGTTTTCATATTTTGAAATTACTCTCACCCCATCCCCTTTCCCAGATATAAGCATTGTTCTTTCCCTTAAAATTTTGCAGTGTTTTCTCAAATGTCAGCTTCCTGGTAAGATCTTTTCTGAGCCCTCTACTTAACTGTTGCACCCCCATCTTTGTATATTTTTTCTCAATAACACTATCATTTTACACACTTTTTAAAAACAATTTATTTTCATCTAAGAGTATTTATTTTGAAATTATCTATCTTCTCCCATCAGAATACAAGTTTTAGGAGGGCAGGGCATTTTGTTTGTTTAGTTTCCATTGCCTATTATTTAGCATGAGCTTAATAAATATTTGAATGACTACTTTAATAAACAAAGAAATGTTTTTAATTGTCAAAGTTAGTTTGTGAAAGAGGCCCTTATCTGAACAGGATATTTGGAATGAGTGGTGAACAGGCTGGAGATATGACCTAGGAAGAAAGATTGATGAAGAGAGAACTACCTTCTCTACCTTTTTTGTTCAGCAGTGATACAGGTATTGGCTTTAAAGGGTATTCTTGGGCTTATGCAAATGAAATGGAAGATTTGAATTGAGTAATGCCAGCTTAGGAGAGACTCTGATCAAGGGAGAAGAACACTCCTTAATGTGTATGGGTGTTTGCATAGTATTTGGAATGGAGACTGACATTTCCCACCATTCTCGATTGCTCTTACTGAACACAAAGAAATATTGCTTCACCACTCTAGTAGTTAGTTTGATGCCATGTGACAAAGTCCTTGCCAAAGAAATAAGAAAAGTTATATGTGCCACTTGCTGGTCTGACCATGGAACATCCCAAGTGAATAACCCATGTTCTGTCTTCTCCTCACTCAGAAACCATAAATGCTCCATCTTAACAATAATGGTGTCCCAACATTGAAGGAGTATTCATCCTTACATTACTACTGAAAGAGAGCCATGTGACCTTTACAAAGTCATTGTGTCTGGGAGAAACAAACATTTACTGTGCTAAGCCATTAAGAATATAAGTTGTTTGGCATAGCAGGTAGCAATAATTACTCTGATGAATATTCTCATAAAATACTATTGTAAATAATGCAAACATTTTAGTGTAAAATATCTATATGCTAAGTGTACTAAACACTAACCTTTCAAAAAGGACAGTTGGGTTTTATATATAAATAGTATAAAATAATTACTAATAATAGATTGATAGCATATAAATGCCATTATATATACATTTGCTGTAAAATACCAATATCCTTCAGGTTAATCCGTCGAGTGCCATACAAAATAAATGTCCTTGTACCATAACTAAAATGGTACAAGGACATATGGGTGAAACACTTGGGAAGGCATGTGAGCCAGTATTTCCTTTTCAATGTCACTACTTCTAAAAGGTATTCACTAAGAACCTTTTATAATCAATAACCCTTTTTTGGAATGCTGACAAATTTGAAAAGTTAGGGAGCTCTTTGCTTCTTAAAAAGCTAAACAATATATTGAGCATGCTTTAACTAGGAGATAGTTTTCTTTAACCAGACATTCTAATAAAGCTTGCAAGAAAAGTGTTCTAGGAAGAAAGAAAAGAGATCTCTATTTTGTTGATTTATATTGTTTCTTCCACATATTCTGAATATGGTCTTCAAACAAATTGAAAAAGCCACAGGAAAAAAAACACATATACTTGGATTTTTTTCTATTTCCATAACATTCATAGCAGAAAAATGACACAAATTCTGAGATTTATAACTAGCATGTCAGGGAGAGTAATCCTTCTTATTCAGAGGGAATAAGATCAACACTAGAGGCTGCTTTGAGCACTCAACTAATCTTCAGAACATCTGAGGTAGAAAGGCAGTTAGTGAGCATTTTTCCTCACCACAGGATATCCATTCATAGAGAATAAAATCTCAATTGAACCCCTACCCTCAGATTCCATAGAAATATTTTCCAATGAAATCAAAGTAAGCAGATAGATAAGTAAGCCTGAAAGCTCTTAAAACAAGTTATGTTTAGCTTTAAAATCTTAACATTACACAATGACAATAGAAAGCACAAAAATTGCTGTCAGACACCCCTCCCTCCATCAAAACTAATAAAGAACAAGTACTTTTTTCCAACTAAGCCTTATTCAGTCCTGTAATTAATTCTAAGGACTTGGTCATAGCTTCTCAAAACCTAATGCATACTGGACTTACCTGTGGAGCTTTAAAAATATTCATAGCTGCTTTTCATCTCAGAACAATTAAATAAAAATATTTGGGATATATTTTAAGAGCTTCCCAGATGGTCTGATGTACAGCCTAGCTAGAGTTATTCCTTTTTGTTTAGTAAAACTATCTCATGATAAGGTTTATGTGCTTTTAGGGAGTAGTGTTGAGAAGAAAAAAGAAATTTAGATTTGGGTTCAACATTATACTAAGTATAATAAATCATACATATTCCTTGGAATTAAACTTAAAATTAATATTTTATTCCTATTTTAAATATATGAAAATTAAGTTGAATATATGGTAATTAATTACTGCTTTGCAGATCTCATGAATTGCTCATCAAAGAACAAGGACATTTTCCATTGTGTTTCTTGAAACTAGCAGTGATTAAGCAAGTATTCAAAGATGGATGCTACACAAAAATAAGAGAGTTGAAATAGATCATCAAACTGTGGGTCATTGGACAAATTCAGCTGCTTCCTGTTTTGTCAGTAAAGTTTATTGAAAATCAATCACATCCATTCAATAACTTTTTTCTTTGGTTGCACCAGGTCATCAATGCCAGGGTGAATAGTAGTTGTAACAAAAGACTATATGGCCTGCTAAAGCCAAAATATATATATTAATTGGACTTTTCAGAAAAAGTTTGCTGATCCATCAACTGGATAATATGCAGCATTCTTTTAGTCCTAAAATTCACAAAACTAAAAAAACTCCTAAATTGCAAATCACAGTCTTTTTCAGAAGTAAAATAATCTAAAATGGCTTACTTTAATATAGAAATGTTCCAACAACATGACATGGCAAGTGCACATGCTATTGATGTTTTTCCCCTAAGCTTATAAGGTAATATTCACTATAAAGCATTAATGGGTAAGACCAAAATGGTAGAAAAATCAACTTTGAAAAGTGGTATGGCATCTACTTCTTTGGGCTTGGTAATATAGAAATAATTCCAGGTTGTTAAAAAAGAGGATGTTTTATTTAAATAAGACCACATTTCCAGGTTTTCTGCCTTGATATATAATGAGGGATGCCTAATCTACCATAGCTACTTTAACGCAACCAATGATGGCACATGGCTTAGCTCTTCAGTGAGGAGACAGAAGAGAAGGAATCAAACCTACCATCTGTCATTCCTTCCCTCCGATGAGGCAATGATGGTTGTTGGTCCATTCGCCCTCCCTTGTGTTTTTTAGTTGGCCTAGGCCTCTGACTTTGACTCAGGGCTGCACTGGTGTTACTGTCAGTAGAAAATGGGCTGGTTGGTCGAGGCCTTTGAGAAGAGGTAAAGGCTTTGCCTAAAAACAAACAAACAAAATACAATGGGAAGGGGATATGGAGAATATTATTTTAAGAGTCTGATTCTATTTGTCTTGTATTTTTTGCTTTTTCTATCTTGCAAACCTGCCTGGAGATGCTATTTGGAGATTCCAGACACTGCTGCAACTCCATAGAAAAATGTATGCCTTGCTGCATTTGTCTGGCCCAATTTTTAATAACCAACATTCTACCCATTAAAAAATTTAAACAAATATAAAACAAATCCACATGATCTTATGTGATTGTTTTTATTTAGCTTTGATAATCTTAGCAATATTTTCATAGGTATTTGCAAATTTATGCAGCTTTTACTTCTAAAAATTAGAAAAGCTATTTCTGAAAAAAAATTATGTGCTGTCTTATTTGCTTAATCAAATTTCACTCTTAAATCCCACAAACTCTCTTTGAGTATAAAAAATGTCTATTGTAATTACATCTAAAAATTTACAAGAAAGAGCTGCTCACACACATATATTAAATTGACCTTACTGCTCATACACATACATGATGAATTGTACTTCTTTGAGCAGAAGTTCAATAACATTAGCGTATAGTATAGGATAGAGAGCAGGTTAAAACCACCTTGTATATCTACAGAACAAAGGATGTTTCTAATTGATAATATTGTATCTGAGCAGACTCCAAATTCTCATTGAGAAATGAAATGTGCTATGCCCTTTTCTTGTGGCTTAGTGTACATATGTAGGGAAATTTACTTTGGGAAAAGGTTAGCTAATCCATTTTCAACATCTTTTAATTTTAATATTATGGTAAGTTAAGATTGGCTTATGTGCAAATATATATATTCTCTTGTGCATGTTTCATTTCATACAAAATTCTTGCATAAAATGTAGTTATATTTTCTTATGTCAGTGTGAGAATATTGCTTAATGTTTTATTAGCTATTAGCATACATGCAAGAAATGCACTTAGCCCTCTAATTATTAGTTTCCTTGTACTTTCTCACTGCACTGCTCACAGCTCTGCCACAAAAATCACTCAGGCAATATAAAGTTTCTGACTTAATGCCTTATAAAGCAAGAAAATTCAAATAACCATTACATTACAACATATTTTAGTCAAGATGCTATATAAAAAATAAACCTCTGCAATGCTTGGATAATCTTTTTATTTTATTCAAAGATACCTAATACACACTCAAAGGGTATTCTCTTGATATCTTTCAAAGATAATTTTTAAGACTTATTTTTATAACCTTAGAATTTAGTACAGGGTCAAAAAGATTTTTAATTTATTATTTGGGTACTATTAAGATTTTTAAAATGGATATAGAATTTCTTTAGTTTTTTATAAGGTAGCTAAGTTTAATTTATATATTTGGACCTTATTATATATGCATTTAAGAAGTATAGAAAGTCATGTAATAGCATGCATCATGCCAAAATTATTTTGTTTCAGTAAAACAAATGATGACAAATTACTGATCTATTATTAGAGTGAATCCCAAATTTATTTGGGGGATGATCAGCTATATGAAAGATTAATTGGTGTTTTATATTATTACTTATTATTATCATAAGCCAAAAGTAGATTATATTAAAAGCCAACACACATATAATCATAATTTTTTTCAACATGCAAATGCAATGGATGTATTTTTTATTAGCATCCTTAAAAAACACACAATGTTATTGGATTAACTTTTTAACAGCCAAATAAGTAATAATTCCACCAGCCGTTTGAATTGTTAGACTGACAGCATTAGACCAATTCACCCCATGCTGAGAAAGCCTTCCCAGAAAATGCATTTGCAGAAATAAATGGGGCAAAGGAAAGTAATGAAGATAAAAGCTGAATAATTTTAATCACTGGGTACATTACTGATTCTGTGAGAATTTTGCAAAGTATGAGTTATTGAAAAATTAATGGCAATCTTAGTTGCAGCTTTGCTGTAACATAAAAAGGAAGCATATCCCAATTGATCAGCACAACCATGAAGGGAAAGGGAAATAAAGGTTGGAAAATGTTGAGTAGGAGCCTATTCTTGGATCTGCAAAACTATTATAGCATCAGAAGAGAGTTCTGGTAATTAAACATCCAAACTGTGGGCATGCATACTAAAGAAATTCCTTCAATCTGGCTCACTGAGGAGAAAGGACAGAAGAATAGCTCAGTGTCCAAAGAACAAGATTCTCTCATGCAAAGAGTGTTGACCCAGAGTCTACCAACCTGTTCTTGTAAGGCTGGTTCCATCGAGCCTAAAGCCAGCTTTATCTGCTGCTGCCACCAGAGCTTGTGCAAAACTGCCGCTGGCAAAGATGGAGCCATCTGAGGAGCTACCTACACTAGATCTATGACTAGAAAAGTTACGATCCTCATCAGATGCAGAGCCCCATCCATTTACCATTGAACCTAAAAACAAATGTTGTCTAATGAGTTGTAGATACTGGAGAGCTCATCTTCACACTCTATACAAATGAATAAGCTGGCTTCCTCAACTCCTCAGTCTTCCTTGAAATAAATCTGGTATCATCTGACTTCTTTAGCCACATGCAAACATCACCCATGTTTTAAATATTCCAACTGCAGAAGAATGAGGCTCATTTGAAACCTGTATCTGTTTGCAACACATGAATAAAACATGTTCCACATGGTTCCATTCTTACCTTGTTAAAATTATTACACATGATCATTTTCCAGGAAAAAATTGCTATGTATACTTTTAAGTCTACAGTTCAGAGAAGAACACTTTTGATGAACTAAATTATAGTGTGTTTAAGGTAAACATATCATGAACTCAGTTGAAGAAATAGTGAGTATATTTTTAATTTAATGCAACCTCTAATAATAATTTGCCTTAAATCTAATCTTGTATACTGTAAAAAGGTTAGAATTATTTCAAGATTTTAAAGTAAAAACTTAATTATGCAGAAAAAATACTGAACATTCATAAACAAAAACATTTATAAATAATACCAGAGCAAATAGACTTAGAAAATAAGAAATATGTATCTTTGGAAAGTCCTATTAATTTCAAAACTCACTATGCTTTTTTGCTTTTTAATTAATAACTTCAGTTTTCTCTTCAGTATTAATTTTTATTTTAGAAAGTTAACCATTATTGCCGAAACTGGTTTGGCTCAGTGGTAGAGCATTGGTCTGTGGACTGAAAGGTCCCAGGTTCGATTCTGGTCAAGGGCATGTACCTGGGTTCCGGGCACATCCCCAGTAGGGGGTGTGCAGGAGGCAGCTGGTCGATGTTTCTCTCTCATTGATGTTTCTAGCTCTCTGTCTCTTTCCTTTCCTCTCTGTAAAAAATCAATAAAAAATATATTTTTTTTAAAAAAAAGAAAGTTAACCATTATAAAGAATACTACTGGAATTCTGCAAAATGCAACATAGCAATAGAGGAAAAACTCATCTTTATGTGTAAAGAGCTGCAAGATATGAAGATATTGAGAAATGACTTTTATTCCTAGTTTTTATCAAGTTGTTTACAATTTTATATATTTTTAGACTAAACACATCAAAACCTGAATCTATTACATATTACAATTAATATTATAATATTTATTTCAGTTGGTATACTATTAATTTATAAGACAATAAAGTACCAAATGTTGCTTATTCAAAATTTTTTAAAAAGGAAGAAATAAATATTTTGGAACACTAACTTAAGGGTTCTAAATAAACCAAACACATATTTATATACAAGACATTAAAGTTAAGCATCATAGATTTTTTTTCTGCTTTTATCCAATATTTAAGAGACAAAAGTATAGTTAGGAGTGTTGCTATGATGAAGCATTTGTACTTTTTTAGTAAAGGGGCCAGTATACAATCACACGGGTTCATGCACTCTTGAGACAGAGAAAACAGAAACCGAAGAGGTTAGAAGGATTTGAGAAGTTAAAAGGGTGTTAAGTGTAGCAGAAAAAAGATAGAGTTTTGATTCTATTTGCCAAAAGCACAGAGATACACTTTTTACTTTCAAAACAAATTCCCTTGACACAGGCCACTGAAAGGAAGCTGAGATAACACCATCAACTGAGCCTCCTCCGAGAGAACCATTTCAAAGTTAATAATCGCAAGTCAAGGACCAACAGTCCAAAATGAAAGGAGAAATGCTGCACTAGGCTTTGCCATATAATGTTACAGTAGATAAGAAACATATCAAAATGATTCAGTCAGTAATCACCGAAGAATTCAAAACCTGGGAACCAAGAATAGTCTTGAAACACATGAAAGCTCAGGCCAGTCCTTCCTATGTTCTGTTTTCCATGTTTCTAAATGTCTACTCAACATCTGTGAACACATCTGTGTCAGTTATCTGAAACTCACTCTCCAAACAAGCATCTCCTTTTGTACAACCTCAATTTCATTACCAACTGATTTTCTTCTAGTCCCTCTCTGTTCCTCATTGTCACAGAATGAATTTTCTGAAACACTTAACACATTCAAAGCCTTACCTAGTTTACCAATGCCACATCCAAGCACCAAACTAGGTATTTTAGATTCTTCAATATTGAGCCCAGCCTACCGTTCTAGCCCCATTTCCTCTTAAAGCCTGTGTAGTTCTGTTGCCTCACCCATATAACATTACTCACACATCTCTGAATTGTGACTGACTCTATTAACCACTGTGAAACTTTAAAGTCCCAATCAATATCATCTCTTTGATCACCCTGATTCTGCCTCACCTTCAACCCTGTCTAAAGGAGAATCAATCTTTCTGCCTCCTGTGTTTTTCAAACAGTATTCACACAGTAGTACATCAGGTCTCTACAAACTACAGTTTGCTGCATATATGTTCCCTCTTCTAGACAATGTCTCATTCACTTTTATATCGCTTATACAGGAACATTGCACAGTAGACATTTCAATAAACATCAAGAATATTAAATTAAATATCTTAAATAGTTTCATTATATAAATACTATTTGTGATTCTATTCCATGTGTAATTTCCTAGAAACTACTTTGTTAGTTATAAAATGTGCTTATAAGAACTCCTAGAA